ATATATTAATGTTAGGTGGTTTATTTCTAATTCATAAAGAATCCTGTTGGTATTTTGATTGGGATTTATTTGAATCAATGCATCAGTTTTGGAAATGGCCATTTTTGACAATATTAGTTCTGCCTATCAAGGAACAGGGCTTATATTTCCACTTTTTTATGTCTTACTGAATCTCCTGTTTCAAAGCACTGTGGGATTTTTTTCCTTTCTTCCTTTGTTTTGTTTTGTTTTGTTTTTGTAGAGGACTTTCACTGTCTTGTTTAGGTTAATTCCTAAACAGAGTACTTTAATTTGATACTACTGTGAATGTTATTATTTTCCTTATTTCCATGTCACTGAGTCCATTATTAGTGTACAAGAATACTATTAATTTTTCTGTGTTTATTTTGATTGTTGCTACATAGGTAAGGTCCATCTATAAATTTTTTTCAGGTTTTATCATGAACAGATTTTGGAGTTTTACAAATGCTTTTGCTGAATATATTGATATGATTTTGTAATTTGTCCTTGCTTCTTCTGTTAATGTGCTGTATTAAATTTACTGATTTGTGGCAGAATAAATCATTGTGCATAGATACCACATTTTCCTTATCCATTCATCTGTCTTCAAGATCATGCTGTTAATAAACTGTGTTGCTATTAACACAGGTATGAAGTTTTCCTGTAATTGGATGATTCTAACTCTTTGTCATTCCTTTGTCTACCAACAGCACAAAGCTGTGTCATACCCTTTGCCCTAGACCACTAGAGCAGCACAACGCAGGATCAGTCTAAACAATATAAAGGCTTAGGTGCTCAGGTCTGCTCACGACCCAAGATTATTGCAACCAGCTGCAGGTGCTCTTGATCTGAACTGAAGTTCACGCCCTAGACTGTGAGTCACTGCCTGTGACCAGAGGTGCCTCAGATTCCACTCACAGGGAGTCCTGGGGATGAGGGGTACTAAGATCTGCCCAGTGCTGGGTTCACATCAAGTTCCAAGGCAAAGTTCTGTGATGTATACCTCAATCTACCTTCAGCTTGTGGAGTCCTGAACCCTGCTGTGCTGCCCAACATCAGTGTGGTGCTGGTGAAGGCAGTCTCTGGTCATCACAGCGATGCTGAGCTGGTTGATGCCTTATTTGCCCAACCACAGAGATGTGCAAAGTCTCAGAGGCCCTCCAAGGACCATTCCCTGGCTGACAGTGATGCAGGCCAAAACCCAAACCTCCTGCTGAGGTACAGGTCTCCGCAGAGTGGCAAGACATATCTGTGGACACTGCTCTGGGACAACTGCACTGCACAGCACTAGGTGACTGGTGATGAAGTGAGGCTCTGGAGCACCAGCTCTGAGGCTGAGTCAGAGCTAATCCTCACTGTGCAGGCCACCCTGGTGGCGGCGTGGCCTCAGCCCGCTCTCTGGCTAGCAGTGATTGGGGCCGGATTCCTCTCCAGGCTCTGGCTGGGCACAGGACTGTGTTTTCTTTCTCCTGATGATTCTCAGCACAGGGCTGGCTTTTGCTTCCCATCTGCTGAGTGAGTTTAGAGGAGAGGCGGTAGAGACATCTCTTTGCAGCATGGATAGCAGTTTCAGTGGCTCAGTCCACAGGTAAAGGCCTGTGAGTAGGACGCACAGGGCTCTTCCCAGCACTGGTGTTCATGGTGCTGGGCTTGATGCTGGATTTCAAGTCTATCCAGGACTCAACTCCTTCTTCCTCTTCCTTTCATTACTTGGAGACACCACTCTCCTTGGGGTCCTGCTTAGAGTTGTGGGAAAAGTAATGCAGAGACCACTCTCCTCTTCCTGCCTCCTCCAGCTTTCTCTTTCTTACACTGAAGCTGGCCAGTGGTGTGTGACTTGGTCTCCTAGCTCCTGTCAAGTCCGCTTGTGTCTGAATTGTGGTCACAACTGGTGTGACCCAGAAGTTCATAACTGAACAGCTTCCTCAACTACACTCTTGCTTTGCCATGCTTAGCTTTGAAATATAAATTAATTGGCTCAGGGGATTTTATTAACCTTAAATGCTCTGATATTTTTAAATAAAAATGCATTTTTCCTGCATTAAATCATATGGGATTTCACAATGCACAATTCAGAGGAATAAAATTAACTTTAGATATTCACATAAGTCTCTGATTTATCTTCATTGGAAAAATTTAATACTTTATGTTAATTGAAACTTAGGTCACTCTTTTCTGTTCCTTTTCATACTACTCTGACCAGAAGGAGTCATCTCCTCTATCACAGATAAGCCCTTGCTAGAACTTGTCATTTGTATGGAAATTGCCATTGGTAATGTATTTATTTACTAATCACGTATGGTATCATTCTTCTTTCTCTTTGTTTGTGATTATTTCCTTTGTACAGACTTAAAAACTCTACTGCTATGTTTATCAGTCATGATTTCCAGTTGTTTTTAAAGATCTTTTCCCTTCTGATTCATACTCATGCACACACACACACACACACACACACACACACACACACGCACACGCACATGTTGGGGCAGTTCCTGTTTGCAACTCTTGTGGACCCGTAGGTAATCATGATCACGAATATTGACATTTGAAGAGGGTACCATCTGAATAGTGGTTAATAAAGCCTTACAACCAAGAGCAGAGATATTGTGCTAGGAATATGTGCTGGAAAGACATGCCCTGGATATATACTTAATACTATCAATGTACAAAACAATCTTTTGATTAATATGGAGTTTCTGTTAGAATTAAAAATAATGTCACCCTTTGTAGAGGAAAATGAGTAAAAGTTAATAATGGAAATGGAGGCTAAAAGGGAAAATAAGAGAACACTGAGTTTTTGGAAGTTCTATTTTCATATTAGTTTAGTCAAAGATGTCCTTAATGATTTTTAACTTGAACTTTGTTGGCATCTACTGAGATTTATTTAGTGCTTTCAATTTTAAGTACCTAAATGGCAATACAGTTGTGAATATTATATCAAAAATAAATTCCTGACTTTATCCTAACATGGTATACTACTGTTGGACATGTTGCTTTATAAATTTGTTAAACTTTCATTTACATGATGCCTTTCTCTGGCTTTGACATCATGCAAGAGCTCCTCAGAAAGTTTCAAAAATGTCCATTTCTTTAGATTTTCAAAAGGATTCAGAGATAACTGTAACTCTTTATTCCCTAAACATTTAGTAAACTTCATATATAAAGCTACTTGTATGTGATTTCTTTGGGTGGGTCAAGTTATTTTGAATACAAATTTCTGTTTGACATTTTAATTATCATGATTTTTCTCCAATGTGTTTTCTAGTGTTTGTGTAATTGAAAATTATAATACATTACTGCTTATGATATTAATGCAAAATCACCAACTGATAACCTGTAGACATTCAGAGTGCCACTGTTGTTTTTGTATATTTCTTATTCTAAATTGCATTGAAGAGTCTGAGTTGCTGTTGTATAAAACGTGAAATTATAGGGACAGAAATTGTTTTAGTAAATAATAAAATTAAAAGCTAGATCTTGGTTTTTAAAATTGTTATTATATAGAGAAATGTATACCCTTGGAAATAACTTATCCTTGTAATAATAAAAGATATCAAAATGAAAGAGAGTAAATGGTGTATGTTAAAAAATATGAAATATTACCACATTGTCTTTGGTTTTGATTACTGAGAGACTATCAAGATTTATAGCAAGATTTATTTCAAAAGTGGAATTTTAGATGGTTTACTCATTATACTTTTATTCAGTTATTAGAAATTCTTACCTTTCTCTACTTTATAAGGTATATTTATTCACAAATGTTAACTTGGTGAAACATTTAAAATAATTTACTAAACATATCATATAAAATTAAACATAAACTTGTGCTCACAAGAACAAAACAATATTAAAATTTCAGTTTACCCTTGACATATGCTTACTAGAAATTGACAATATGTTCTTATTGCTACATATGAATAAACAGGCAACAATTAGATATGTAATGGTGACACAGTAAATATTAAATAAACTGTATAAATGCTGTGGAAGTGTTTGTCTCCACATGAGAAAACCAAACTTTTATTATTCCAACTAATTATTTCTATTCATATTTCATTGACTACACAGATATTTTATTAAATGTTATATCAATCTTCCCATGATGCAAGTAAAATGACAGAAATATTAACACTAAAAATAATGAAGATATGTAAGAAATTTTAGAGTTTTGCTGAAGTATTTTCAGAAATCATGTGGACATTGATACATACCACACTACACTGATTATCAATATGGCATGGTTCAAATCATAAGATTATCCATTGGCTTCTACCAATCAGACTATCAAATTAATTCAAAAAATGAATCCTAGTAAGAATAGAATACATTTATATAACCACATATAAGAAAAGTCAACCACAAAAAAGAAAAACTAGAAAGTTACTTCTTTGCAGATTACACATTTTATGTGAGAATAAAAAAAATTATGACATATAAATTTAAATTATTCTGTGAGTGGTAAGGGAGAGTAATCTTCCATTAGACCAGCAGAGACAATAAGATATAAATTAGGAAGTCAAATTATAAAGGAAAGGAAAGAATGCCCTACAATAAGAAATTTATCTTAATTAGTGTACACACATGCACGTGCATGCACACACAAACACAAACACACTGGAAAGTTTATTGTAATGGTTGAGAATATGCTAAAGAATCATTTAGCTTCTCATTTGTATCTATTGCTTGTCCTCACTCACATGGAAAATACCCTTTCTGCTACATGCCCTTAAGTTCTATATTCTCTAATTCTATTCTAGTTTACTGTAAAGTTTACTGTATTCTAGTTTACTATAAAGTTTATTCAGTCACTGTTTAAAATTTTTCTCTCCTCTTCAAGGAAAGCAAATACTTAGCTGCTTTTTCAAGGCCATGTTTTTAACTTGTGGAAGGCTCATCTTTTAAATATGTTCTCAGAGTGCTTGTGCTTGCCATACATTCTGAAGGAAAACAGCAGGTTCTCATCCTAATCTGATGGATAGAACTCCCACTGTATGCAGCCTTTAAGAACAGATACTGCATACCTTTCTCAACATCCTTTGAAGGGCACATCTTACATCTTTGTTCCTCAAGCTGTAGATCAAATGATTCAAAAATGGAATGATCAAAGTATAAAATATGGATGACATTTTGTCAGTGTTGCTGGAGTGACTGGACTTGGGCAGCATGTACATAAATATCAGCATTCCATAGAACATGGTGACCATGGTCAGGTGAGACCCGCAGGTGGAAAAGGCCTTATACCTGCTCTCTGCAGACTTCATCCTGAGAATGGCTGTGAGGATGAGCAGGTAGGACACCAGGACCATCAGGAGGGAGGAAATCAAATCAAATTCTGCTAAGGCCATAATTATCCACTCAATTTCATGTGCATTTGAACACAGCAAATATAAAAAGGGGATGCAGTCACAGTAGAAATGACTAATGGCATTGTGGCCACAGAAGAACAAAGTGAAAAGCTTTGTAGTGACTATGAGTGACATAAATGTGCAGTTGAGATAGGGTATTCCCACCAGCACCCAACATACCTTTTGTGACATCATGACAGTGTAGGGGAGAGGGTTACAGATGGCCATGTAGCAGTCATAAGATGTGGCAGACAGAATAAAAAGCTCACTACCAATAAACAGAAGAAATAAAGCAAGCTGGGCAGCACAGCAATAGTAAGAGATTGTATTTGGATGAATAAAAAAATTTCCCAACATTTTGGGCCCCACAGTTGTGCAATAACCAAGATCAGTGAGAGCCAGGTGTCTAAGGGAAAAGTACTTGGGAGTTTGTAGCCTGGGGTCCACCTGGGTGAGGATGATCATGCCCAGGTTGCCCAGCAGTGAAGTCAGGTAGATGACAAGGAGCAGGAGGAACAGTGGAGCCTGCAGCTCACGGCGATCTGTGATGCCCAGCAGGATGTATTTAGTCACTGCTGTGAGGTTGTGCCCTTCCATCCAGGGCGATCAGAAGATCTATGTTTGTAGAAACATTACCATAGGGGAAAAATGGAAATATTATCACCTGGAGGACTCTTATTGTGCAAAACTAGGTAAATGAGATACATTCAAACTTTCCAATATTGAGTATTAACAAATAAAACTATGCTATCTTCCGCAATTTTTAAAATAAACTATGTATTAATACATATAAATAGAAAGCACAACATTACTGCTTCTCAGTGCATGTGATTATATTCACAAAAGTATCTTATTAACTGTTAAGCCAAACTTTGGTTATCTTAGGAAGTAAAAGGTACTGGCATCAGTCAACATCCTACTACACCCAATATCCACTCCAAAACAATACCCTTATCCACAAATTTTTGAAATTTTGAGAAGACTTCATACTTAGATAGCTAGATAATTAGGCATAGAATGTTTACTTTGCAGAAACAATTTATCTCAAATTCTATACTCATGCACAAAAACATGGCCTTGCAATTTTGATTGAAAGAATAATTAAATGATTCACATTGTTCAAGCTTTCTGGAAATAGTTCTCATAGATCAAGTACATTTGCATATTTTTGTTTTTCAAGTGATGACAATCCCCTTGAAATATTTTTTTTTACATATGTACAGAATATACTTAACAATTTAAGGACATTTATATTTCTACCTCAGTATGCCCCCATCCATGAGTATTGTTGGATAATCAATGTACTATTGGTTTTCATTACTTATCTTCTATTCTTAATAAGTACTCTAATGACATTTTAATATAAGTTGCTTTTACATAAATTTACTGGAAATATTCTTCCCTTTTGAGTATTCTTACTAAAACTGAAATACACTTGCTTGACTATAGTACATCAGATGAACTTTATCATGCTGAAGGCTGGGGCAGTATAAAGAATTCTGAGCAAATTAGGAGAAAAAGAGGTCATTAGCACTGGTTTTAGAAAATGAAGATTCATAAAATTCTCTTGGATGAAAGATGCTATGATTTAAACAAAAAATAATGACATCTTGTGAAACATTTTATAAATATACATTGTGTAAAATCAGAAGTATGCTATAAGATATCAGAGAGATAAATCAGTATAGTAAAGATTATATATTCCTGGATTCTTGGGTGCATTTTGGAATCTTCTCTGTGTTACGTCAGAACGACTTCTTACAAATATGACATCGCACATTATACAGACAAGTATGTGTGAGCCAGATTAAATCCACCCGAGTTTCTTATAACCTAAGGATTTAAATACAGCATAGTAGAAGATGAATACAGCATCTTAATGTAAGTTCATTATTATTGATATAAAAACTTTTGAGCACCAATTTTCTTTTTTTAAAAATGAAAGAAATAGAAATGACACAGTTTAGAGTGAGAGGTTCCACAGTGGGCAACTGTACTTGAGCTACAAGTAAACAAAGATTTCATACAATTCACATTATGCATCAAACCAATCACAGGTCATTTATATGAAACTGTCATATAGTACTGCTTATGAGGTTGTGGGTATTCAGTCTCCTGCTATTCTCTTTCAGACTCACCCTGATATTAAACACAAACATAGAACACATTATTGCATTTGAGAAATAACTTCAGATGCGCAATAAGAAACAGTTTAAATCATTTTTCTTGTTGGTTTGGCTTGGCTTGGTTTGGTTTGGTTTCTAATTATAAAATATTACAAAATAATATACATAACTAAGTACCAATATCGATGTAATGTACAGAAAAAGATGTTTCTTCTCCAGTTTCAGAGATTAATGGATATTTCTTTTCACAACTAATTATTATTGAATAATCGTGTTTAATTTTAAACTTATAGTGTGAGAAAAATTTAGTCAGATGTCAGTGCAAAATGAACATCTTACCATTCTTAAAAAACGTATCATGAAATAGTTACTCTTAAAACTGCATCCTATATCTAAATATAAAGGGGAAATTCTTTTTTCCCTAGAAAGAAATAAAATGGATCTAATTCTAACATTTATTTGGAAAATCTCAGATGTTCAAATACTTAAGGGAGTCAAAGGAGTCCAGAGCCACCGAATACCTAAGGTCTTGGAAGGCAATCAGATTGAGAGAATGAATCACTGCTGTCTCAGTATCTGCTTTAAAACTTCTGCATCCTTTCATTTACAGTTCATCTCCTCTGACTTTTGCCATCTGTTAGATATAACATTATATGGGTACAAGATTAAAAACTTTCTAAGAACACATATAATGTGTGTTTCCAAGATGATATTTTCCTCAGAGTATCAGGACATCTTTTCAAATAGTGATATGAGAAACAGTGACGTGCTATTGATTTGCAAGCATTATGAAATTGTAGAAAACACAGTAACTGAGTCAGAAATGCTTACTTATCCCAAATAGTGAGTCCATTGCAAATGGGGACCATTTCTTCAGATCTTGATAACGAATGGCACCCCATGAAATAGTCCATCTTTTTTACCTGTAATGAAATTACTGTCTTGAGTCTATGTGTTTCTCCACATTGGCTATTTCAGGACAATTTATGGATACTTTTTTAACTTTTAGAGACTCACTCTGGGGAGAAGCAAAACTGTTGCAGGATTATCCTTAAAGGATTTGAATGCATAATCAAATGCCTGCAGGTGTCTTCTAATTGCCAAGGACATTTTACATTCAAGTTTGACTTTATTTATTATAGGGTCAAGAAAACTATGTCTGGATTTTAACTAATAGTATTGGTATTTGAATAAACTCAAAGAGTTCTCATATTCACTGCCCCAGAAATTGAAACACTCAAGATGTAGAAACAACCTAAGTATGTATTACTTATGAATGAAGAAATATAATATAACTTACATAAACAATGCCATATTAGCCTTAAAAAAGGATATTCTAAAACATGCAATAACATGGATGAACGAGAATAACATCATGCTAAATGAAATAAAATAATCAAAGGTCAAATAATGCAATGATCCTACACATGGGATAATTAGTATACTCCATAGAAGGCATGAAGCTGGTGGCAAGACCCAAAGTTTGTAAGAAATGAAGGACTGCTAAGCCAGGAGCTCTGACACATGGCTGTAATCCCAGGACTTTGGAAGGCTGAGGTGGGAGAATTCAAGTGTGAGATCAGGTCTCTATAAAAGAGTGGAGGGAGCCAGTGCTGAGGATGTGGCTCAGGGATAAGGGATTGGATTCAATCCTCAGAACTGCAAAAGAAAACACACACATACACACACACACACACACACATACACACTGCAAAACAGAGAAAAAATGCTAAAAAATACACAATGTCTCAATCACATAATGTGAGTTCCAGAGATTTGCTGTCAAACATTGTGCTTAGAGTTAACAGTACTGTATCACACATTTTAAGTATAGAGAGTGTAGAATTCATATTAAGTGTAATGAATAAATTTTAAAAAACAAAAATGTAATCCCCAAAAGTCCTTCAATCACTAAGAATCTAGTAATTCAAAGGATCCAGGCAAAATAGCTGCATTTCTTGGCCTCCATTACAAGAACTGTACAGAGGAGAAAAGCCCACAGGAAGGGAGAAGAGGTTGCCAGGCACAGGCAGGGGATGGAGGGGGAGAAACTACCTCACAGGTCATTTGAGGTCATAAAGATGTTTTGGACCATCTATTCATTTAACTATAAATAGTACATTTTTAACAGCTAATAATGATAAACTATTCTTGTCCTCAGTTCCAATGATTTAGAACCTATCATTCAGAACATGAAGTCCTCTGATTCCAATTTAAAATGATTCAAATATAAATAAGAGTATTCTATTTTGTCACAAAGACAAAGATTTGAAACCACATCTGAGGCATTTCTGCATAGTACAAATCCAGCCTGCACCTTTTAGTTTCCAAATATTAAACTAAGAATCCTTGTAGCGGTCACAGTGTGGAGAAAATTCCACACCATGGAAGCCTCTGCATGGACACAGGAAACAAAGCTAGGCCCTTCCACACAGCTGTTAAACATCTTGTTTTCTAGACTCATGATAAGAACATAGTGGACTTTGTTTTTTATAAATATCATGAAAGATATTAGAATATAAGAATAGTAGCCCATGTCTCAGATTTTACAAGTGAAATTTGGCTCAATTAGTAAATGTCATTTATTCAGCTATTTTTTCATACAGTAAGTGTTATAATTGTGGAAAAAGAAACTTGAATTCAAACCCTACTTCTTCCGCCTCCCAGCTCTATGGCCTTGGAGGAGTCACTCAACTTTAATAAGTATTTTGTTTTTCTAGTAAAAAAAAATACCTTTAACCATCAGCCTAGGGGAGTGAGTTTTAGGATCAGAAATCATGATTGAAAAGCATCTACTAAAATGCCTAGCAAATGGTAGCTGTTGAATAAATGGTAAGAGCTACTTTTATATTACATATTTCTCTTAAAAGGATAGGATCTTAGTGTAATATGATTATATTCTCTTGTTTCCTTACATGATGTTTTTATGTTCTTTTTTCATGGATGGGGTGATCCCAGCCTGAAGGGTTCTTTACATCACTTTGATTTCATAAAACGTTATTATGAACCCCTCTTTACATTACTAGACTGAAGCAAAAGCACTAGAGAACATGAAATTATAATTCAGCTCCTCATCCTTCCCCATACTTCCCTAAATTATAAAACACTTTTAAAAGATATTTTACAGCCAAAAGTTTTTCAACTACTTGTATTTTCATTGTTGGTGGGAGTGCGGACTGGTGCAACCACTGTGGAAATCAATATGGAGATACCTCAACTAGGATTAGAAGCCCCATTTCACCCAGATATTCCCCTCCTGGATATCTTCCCCAAAGAATTAAAATAATCATACCACAACAATATATGTGCACCCATGCTCATAGTGGCACAGTTTGCAATAGCTAAAGCTTGGAAACATCCCAAGTGCCCATGAGCTGGAAACTGGATAAAGAAGATGTGGGGTTTTTTTATAAAATGGAGTACTACTTAGCCATAAAGAATGAGAAACTAGAGAAATTTATAGCTAAATGG